ATTATAAAAATTTATATTTATTACATTTTTATTTTATATTTTAAAAACACAATAAAAAAATTCATTTAAATAATAGCCATATAAAAAGCCAACAGCTATCTTGAAAATAAGAATAAAAGTAAAAATAAAAATAAAATAAAATAAAATAAAAGAGAGAAAGAAAACATGGGGGCCAACAACCGCCTCTCAACGCTAAAATAGAACTCCAGCAATTTGCCTTTTCCCAATACCACCACCACGTCACTATCAAAAACATCTCCCCAAAGTTATTTCCACCAACCACCTGCCTATCTGCTTTCCACTTAAGGCCTATGTGGTTAGAAAGCCTGCTGGTCCTTTATCCTTCTTTAGGTTTATTAGGATTTTTGTTGATTGGAGCTTCGAATTATCTTGATAGGAATTTGATATTTTTATTTCCAACTCAGCAAATTATTTTTTTTTTCTTCCACAAGGAATCGTGATGTCTTTCTATGGGACTGCAGGTCTCTTTATTAGTTCCTATTTATGGTGTACAATTATCCTTTTCCATAGCATAACGTATTCGAAGTTTCTTAAAAATGGCTAGTAGGGTTAAAGCATATGTATACAAAAGAGGAGAGGCATAACATAAAACAAAACCTTTGCTTTGTCTACAGTTTTTTTTTTTTTTTTTAATGTAAAGTCAGTCAACTCAATTCAATAATAGAACTGTAAGAACTCTTTTTAAGCCCCTCAACTTTTTAGGCGATAAGTGACAAGCTCCTGAACTAAAAAAGTAACAAATAAGTCCTCCAACCTCACGATTGGTGCAAATTAATCCCTCCGCTAATTGACTTCGTAACGCCGTTCATTATTGGCTGTGTGGCATTGCACTTGCACTCCTTTGCATGTTTTTTTGTTTTTGTCTTTACTTCATTTGTTATTAGTAATAATATTATATAGTATATATACATATTTTTAATAAAATAATAATATATTTTTTATTTTAATTAATAATACATTTTACTTTAATAATCTTTGTAAATTACTTTTTAAATTTAATTAAACCATCTAATTAATAAAAAAAATTTAACATATTTTTTATTTTTATCATTAATTATTATAAAAGAAATTTATTACAACGGTGATGATGAACACTCCTAGTAGTGGTAAAAATTTCTGTTACAATAATTAATGACCGTAGTAATCAAGTATAAAAAGCTGTACGGTTGGGGAGTCAGTTAAACCTGCGTGCTGCGGATCTGCAGGTGGATAGTTTCGCTAAATTTTTTGACACAGTTGCTTTCGCTATTGACCAGAGTAAGCTTGAGTTGTTTGGGGTAGTCTGCTGGTCTCTGTGGAACAATCGCAATGATATATTATGGGAGAGTAAGAGGCAACAACCACAAAAAGTTTGCGAGATGGCAGTTCGATTTTTGCAGGAGTACGCTGAAGCCATAAAACACAAATGTGGGACGCAAGGAGGACCAAGGAGAGGGGAGATAAAGTGGGAACCACCAGATGAATCACATTTTAAGGTGAATGTGGATGGGGCTGTGTTCCAGCACTCCAAGGAATTTGGTGTTGGAGCGGTGGTGCGTGATTGTAATGGGGAGGTAATTGCAGCTATGTCATGCCGACGACAAGGGACTCTCCGAGTCGAGGCAGTGGAGGCCTATGGCCTGCGTGGAGCGTTTCAGTGGGCATACGAATTGGGATTAAGGAAGATTATTGTTGAGTGTGATTGTGCGGATGTCGTACAGTGGCTCGGGTCTCAACATGCAGTGTTGTTATCAGAGTTAGGGGGAGTGTTGGAGGACTGTAAAGGCTTGATGGATAGATTTAACAAATGCCGAGTGCAACATGTTCGAAGGGCAGGGAATCAAGTGGCTCATGAATTGGCACACAGAGCTGAATATATTGCAGAAGACGAGTTTTGGGTTGAAGAGGTTCCTGATCCAATCAAAGCTTTTGTACTAAATGACATGGCTTAGTCTGTATTGATTACACCTTCCTCATTTTTGAGACATGAAATAATACTCAGTAGTATTGACCATCAAAAAAAAAAAAAGAATATCCTTCCCAAAATGGTTTATATATATATAAAGAGATATACTCATATATTAACTTGCCAAGCTATTACATAAAGCTGAAGTTTTCAATTTTGTACTGGTATATATACTAATTTTTCTTAGAATGGTATATATTAGATTCAAAAAAATATTATATATTATTTTAGATTTATCGTTATGAAATATATTTTTATATAAATTAAATATAGACTAAAAACATTATAAACTCGGACTTCATTTTATTTTTAAATTTTAAATTGTAAGCTAAAACCAATTAATTTTGGATTTCAATTTATTTCTAAATTCTAAATTAGAAGCACTTTATATATTTTTTTTTTTTGAACAGCAAAAGATTTATTTATTAAAAAAAACGGAGTACAAGGGTACCCCAAACCCATAACAAAACTGTTTGAGAAGCCCACAATTACATGAGTGAATTAGCAAGGTGTCGACACCCACTTTTAGTGTCGACACTATACCCGTGACGAAAATCAGTCCTCCTTTGCGTAATCACAAACAACACAAAACCCAGCCTCTAAATGTTAATTCCATCTTTCATACTATACCTCCCTAGCTTTTACCACCACAATTCACAGTGAGGCATGCAATAGGATTGCTTAACCAATCCGAAAGAGTAAAGTAACACCAGGCTTTTTTTGCTTTAAACCATAAGAATGATCGAATTTGAATCAGATCGAATAGCTTACCCGGGTCCATCTCTTGGTTCTGGAAGATCCTTCGATTGCGCATCAACCAGATGGACCATACTATTGCACTCCATGTACAATCCCATCCTTTTTTGATCCTCGTGTTTTTAGACCACGCCCCAGGATGTTCAAAAGTCTTCCAGTAGTCCTCTTGTGTCTCTATGTTGATTCCCCACCACCTAGCACACTCCTTCCATATCCATCTTACATTTTTGCATTTCAGGAACAAATGGGTTGTGTCTTCTTCCTCTTCTTGGCACAGGTTGCAATTGCCATCACCCATGATTACGCCCAATCCTCTTTTTAGCAAGTTTGATTTGGTTGGAATTCTATTGAGCAGCAGTTGCCAGTTGAAAGCAGAGATCTTGCTTGGTAGGTTGGGATTCCATACCCTCCTGAAGACTTTTTCTTGAGTCAGGCTCCTCGGCACCTTTGTCAAGAGTGTATACGCTGTTTTGGATGAGTAACGGGATTCCTTGCTGTGTATCCATTCCCATTCATCGGGTCGGCCAGGAGATATCTTCACACTCTCAATTAACGTACTGAGTTCTTTTGCAGCCTCTTCTTCCCTTTCTAGCAACTTCCTTCTCCAAGTGAGAATCCATTTCCACAATCCATTACACATAGTTCCCATTTGGCTGCATTCTTTCTCCTTCCCTGCCGATAAGAGGTACAATCTCAGGAATTTGTTAGCTAGACAAATCTCCCCACACCACTCATCCCACCAAAAGCTTACATCCTTCCCTTCTCCTACCTTCAGTCTAAAACTCTCTGCTAACCAACCAGAAGTTTCTCCCTCTGCAGTATTAATCCTTCTGACATCTCTCCACCAAGAAGAACACGCCCCTGCACCGTTCCTAACCCAGTCCATCCACTGCCCCCCACCCTCACTATATTTGCTTGCAATCACTTTCCTCCATAATCCATCCTCTTTTACTGCTAGCCTCCCCCACCATTTACCCATCAATGACAAGTTAAAACACCCTAGGTCTCTCACACCCAGCC